TATAGAACAGGGATATCACAATTATAGGGTAACTACATGTAAAAATTCCCACACATTTAAAGTGAATACTGTGGAGGACCCCCTTGAGTAGATTTTGCGTTTTGTTGCTGCTTTGAGCGCCTGTACATTCTTGTTGATCGATCGGCGTGATCAATGGTGGACGGTGAAGCTTGACCAATTTATTTTATGGGAGTTCGATTCCCAAGATGGCTAGGGCAAATGATAAAACGAAACGTCGTTCCTCGGTGAACATCATATCAGTAGATGTCGGTACTACCACGATTGCTTGCCATCATTTTGATCGCTCGGGAATCTCCCTGTACCACACCACAAGGAAGGTAAGCCTTTGAACCACATTTGTTTTGTTGTATGATCGATTAGAGCCAGAGTTAGCAGTTACATAGTGAAAACCTCTTCTTACAGCAAGCACTGCAGGGTTAGCAATCACTTCTAGTATTCTGTCACTGCTACGATTTCTCCTCTCGTAGATTTGTCAATGGCGTAAAATGTCAGTAAGCGAGCGAGTAAACAGAGAGATTTATTAACAAATCCCTTTTAGTTAGGAATCAGGGAAAAAGGGGATTTAGTCAGTTGATAACTTATATGTATTATTCATTTATTGTTGGTCTGATAGTGGTTATCTGCGTTTTAGATCACGTTGTAAACGTTTCATTTTAGCATGTTCATCAGACTGTACATTTCTTGTTTAGGCTGAAAGTCAAGTGACATCCTCTGTTTAGGCTGAAAGTCAAGTGATTCCTCATGCTCTGGCATGACTCCTCATGTCAGTGCAAAGCAGGGCTGTTAACTAATCCAGGAGTAAATGTTGATCAAAGTTTAAAATTCTTTCATATGAAAGGTTTTCAGAGCTAATGTTCTCCAGACTTTGAGAATAATCACCATCCATACAGACAAACAAAAAAACGTCAACAGGAAACCGCTGTGAAAAGTGCTAATCCTGGTTAGCTTTTGTTGATGAATTCCCTATTGTCCCTCTGTCCTTTCATTCCCGTGGGGGAAAGTGGGTGGGTACTCCTCTACATAAGCTATACAGGTATGTGTGGCCCAAAGGGTATGGTTTTTCAGCCATTTTGGTCATACTAATTTATTAGGGTATTGCGTTTTGGCTATTTAAATTATGTCTTGCTCAAATTGAACACATAACACAAGGACTTCTACCTGATGTGGAGTCAAGTAAATGTTATTCAAGTTATATAATACATGTATGTAAGATCCAAGTGTAACATTTTTTCTATTATTCGTTCTTG